TGTGTGTTTTTTTTTATCTTTCCACCCTCCTGATATCGTCGTTTCTTACCAAAAAAAAAAAAAAAAAGAAAAAAGAGAGAGAGAAAAAAAAAAGAAAAAAACCCGCGATGAGAAATTAACACAGAAGATGTATGAAAAATCGTCGATTAATTTTCAATCGAATCGGATCAAACGAGAATCCATCCTGTGTTATTAATTATTATTTATATCAATGGCAACAATATATTCAAACTCGGTGGTGGTCGAGCACTTTCTCTTCTGCATTTTTTTTTTTTTTTTAACCTTGTGTGGTCTCGAAGTAATCGCAAAGTGTGACAGTACCGTTTCTTTCATTCTTTTATACATCATCATGTTTTTTAAGGTGAATCTCTCTCTCTTTCTCTCTCTCTCTCTCTCTCTCTCTCTCTCTCTCTCTCTCTGTGCATTACGTAATTCCTCGTTTTCTTTATTATACAAGGTGCTGTTTAAACAACTCACGAGGACAAATTCAAAAAAAATTCGATGTAGTTGTAGATTATTCTTGGTGAGAGATCTTCTTACGAAATCGAGTTCAAGTTAAACGAAATATCAGTCTAAATTACAATGTATGTTGAATATTTTTTCATAAGAATTTAAAAATCTTAATATACTTAATGTTACATTACACTGTTCCATTAGTTTGATCAAAGTTTTTATTAATTAATGATGGTTTTTTTTTTTTTTTTTTTACTAAAACATTTCTTTACACTTTAACCAACAAAGGATAAAATTAATGAAACGTTCAAATTAATATTACATTGAAATATTTGATAGAAAATATTGTTTCAAAAATAATTTTTCATCTCGTACGTTGTATTTCACGTGATAAGAAACTTTTTCTTCTGTGTTATTAATTTTTTTTTTATAAATACATTTTACAATACATATATACATACATACATACATAAATATATATATATATATATATATATATATATATATATATATTTGATCTCAAGTTGACCTCCATTAGCAGTAGTCCGATCTTTCAACGAGCAAAAGGCTGGGTCACGAGTATATAAGTATAAGAGTTACTACCGAATAGCTCTGGAGACCCTTGCCTCCGACAAATGGGTCCTTGAATTAATGAAGGAACGAACATATCCGTTCGTACATGTATGTTGTACGATAAGGTAACCATATTAAGCCTTACTCCGTAAACGGAAACGTGGAGCCAGTCGTCTCTGGTAACCATGCACGCTGCTGCGCTGGAATAAAAGAAGAAGCGATGCCTTCTTCTTCGAAATTATTATGATATATATATATATACGCTCTCATTTTGTTACGTTCTTTATTTACACAATTTTTTTTCTTCACAAAAAAAAGGATCTCATTAATATTTTTTTCACGTGATTATTCGTAAAAAAAAATGTATATATATATATATATATATATATATATATATATAAATATCCTAAATCATTGAACGAACAATTCTTCTATATTCATATCTTTATGATGTTTTTTGAATGATATTTTGAATGATATTTTTATTTTTATTTTTATTTTTATTTTTATTTTTATTTTTATTTTTATGTATATATGTTTTTAAATATATTTTTAATTTTTACTTGCAATATCGACGTAAAATACAAGAGTTACCTTCGAATATTCGACGTAGAAATAGAGATAAAAAGTTTCATGGTATCGATCATACAAAACGTTTCTATGCAACGATATATATATATATATATAGAATATTTATTATATTTAAATTAATTAAATTCATATAGTTACTCAATTTCAATTTCTTTCTTTCTTTCTTTCTTTTTCTTTCTTCTTCTTCTTTTTTTTTTCTTTTTTTTTTTTTTTAATAAATATGCTAAGCTGTTTTTTTTTCTTCTTTATATCATAATACGCGAGGGTTAAACGCCTTCTTACGATAAATACGATCCTGTAATCACACCTGGTAGAATTATGTTTCGTTCTGTCGAAAATTTTTCAATCTCTTCTACGAAATCTTTGAAAAATGTCGATACGATGCATCCATTGTTCTTAAACTGTAATCATTTGTAAGACATCATTTCGTTCTGAGTATTCTTGAAATATGTGCCTCAAGGAAAAAAAAAAAGTGTTTATATCTTGTAAAGGAAGAATTTTTAGAACGTGTATTTATATGACCTTTTTTCGTCCTTAAGAGGTATAAAATACGATAGCAAAGTTTAGCCAACTATTATTGAAGCACACTCTGTATATAGGATTTTATATATATATATATATATATATATGTATATGCGGAGAAACTCGGTGCCAGTACCGAAATCTTTATTAAAAGTTTAGTCACGAATCATCGATTTATATATTTCTTCGACGAAGGAATCATCGCTAATTACATTCTTTACGAAAGAATATGTAATTAACTGTAATTTTCGTGGAAATTTATCATTTAATAGGGAATTACCAATGTATATACTAACATCTACATATATATATATATATATATATATATATATATATATATATAGATATATGTATGTACGTATGTATGTAATTTTTTTTTTTTTTTATAAATCTTTAAATAAGTATTACTCGTTCTAAGATTGCTCATTTTTAAAAATATGCATATAAAACAATTCAGATTTGCAAAATACATACATAAATTTCTATATCTGCATATAATCTCTCGATAAGGAAAAAAACAAAAGAGAATATTTTTTTTGTATTACGTGTGCTGTTATCATCGAAACATAAAAAACAAAACAAAAAAAAAACAACAAAAAAAAAAGAGAAAGAAAGAAAGAGGAAAGAACCATTTGTTTTTTTTTTTGTTTTTTTTTTATATTTTGCATGTATGGCATACTAATAGCATCATATTTACTGAAATATTTTGAAAGATATACAGAACTTGTTTTTCTCGATCTGACGAAAAATTATTCGGATTATTCGACAAATTATTTTCATATTATTTATTTATTTTATATTAATATACCTATATTATATATTTGTGTGTGTGTGTGTGTGTGTGTGTATCGTCTTGTCAAATTAGTAGTACGATAAAGAACAACGTTATATTTATGTATGATGGTATAGGACAATGACATCTACATTATATATGTATATAATTATAACATTTTATACACGCACATACACACACACATATATATATATATATGCGAATCTTCGAGTGCAACGGCGTAGCTATATGATCGTAAATTATACTTATCCGACTCTAATGGACGTTTCCTGTGCATCGCGTAGAAAATTATTCCAAGTACGATACACGTTAGCCCAAGGGTCACGCGAAATTCAAGTGGAACTAACGAAACTCAGAACCCTAAGGTATTTTTCTTTTTTAAATGTACCACACACACACACATATATATATATATATATATATATAATTACTTTGTACTTTATTTAGGTAAGAGGAAGTGCATTCGCTTTAAGACATTTTTTGTTTTTTTTTTTTTTTTTAATTTATTTTTTATTTTTCTTACTTTCCTTATTTTTAATATTACATAACAGATTATTTATATACTTTATGTCATACAACCATGTTGTCCCTTTAATACACGTGTTTCTTTCTTTCTTTCTTACTTTTTTCTTTTTCTTTTTTTTTTTTTTTTTTACATTAACTATGTACTACTATTAATCGTTTTATCATTACTGAAATCTCTTTGGTTCTTTAGCTTCGATCTTGACCCATTAGATCGTTGTAAAATTTTAATTAGAACGATACTCTTGATAGCATCTTTAGCAAACCATTCCGATGTCCCTTCTTTTCTTTTCTTTTTTTTTTTTTTTTTTTTACATCATTAATCTTCTTTCTCTTTTTTTCTTTTTTTTTTTTTTTTTTCTTTTTTTCAAGTTCACACAGAGAATACATTAAAATATCATTTAGGTATTTCCACTCGAAAAGGAACTCAGTCAATAGATTAAAACGGCGCTTGTTTGTACAATAGATTTAAGATAATTATAAATTATGTTAAATAATACTTTTTTTTTACTTATTCACAATTATATCTAAGATACATTCGAATAAAATTTAATATTGCATGTGTGTGTACGTATATGTGTATGTGTATGCATGTGTGAGGTAGTAGGTTCGTATATAAGAAATCAGTCATTTGAAGAAGAATCGACGATATTTTCGTCGAGATACAATCACTTTACATAAATTTTCTATATATATATATTTTTTTTATATATATATATATATTTTATATATATATATATTATATATATATTATTATTATTGTTATTATTATTATTTTTATTACGTGTTGATGTCATTAAACCATTGGCAAGATGTAACAAGAACCGTGAGGTTTCTAATACGATTTTACATATAAATTTGTTCCTGCTTCGTAACAATCCTAAATTGGTTCTAATTACGTAAAGAATCGTTTCCTATTCGTTCTTCTATTTTGTCTGCTTTTTTATTTTTTTTTTTATTTTTTTTTATCCTGTTCAATTTCGATGTTCAATGATTAGTCATTATCGTCTATTCTTCTTCATAATTATCATTAATTTTGTGATGCTATTTATAGATTCGCACATTCGTAAATATCGAATCAGCATTTAACCAATATTCTTGAGAAGTTTTCTAATAACATTTCTAATAATAATATATATATATATATATATATATGTATATTTTTTTCCAATAAATAAATAAATAATTGAATTAATTAACGAAAGAAAATAATAAGTCGATCATTTGTTAGGATGGGCCGTAGTTTTTTTTTCACCACGTATCGTCACAGTAGGCACATTTTCGACGTATTTATAAGCAATCGAAGCCGGCGAAACGAACCATTTGTTAACTTCGAAATAATCCTTTGACTCGTGATTGGTTTGAGTCATGAAAACTGTAGTGCTTTTTATATTTTTCATTTCCTTTTGATTATTATCTTTTATCTTATTACGATTAAACGTTTCTTTCTTTTCATTTTGTAAATCCAAATTTTCCTCCTTTGCTTTTCTCAGATCCTTCTTTTCTATATTCTTTTCTTTATCCGTACCAAGATAATTCTTTAGAATGATCGATTCCTTGACATCCCTCGTACCCTTTGAACCTTCCATATTCATTTTCTTCTTATCAGAATCAAAACTGATCTTACCGCCTTCCCCAAAATATTGGACTTTTTCTTTCGATGATTTTGGACCGAGCAATACACGTCCACCGTCTCCAGTATAAACGATATCGCCGACATTATGAGTTACTTTAACTCGACATCCATCTCCAACTACTCGCACGCTACCACAATTTTTTGTTAATGTAATCTTGCAACCATCGCCGGTGACCTCAAGTATCCGATTATTCGAATCCATTTCCACGGATAAACCATCGCCTTTCAATCTTCTAACACTTTCTCGATCCTTCTTCATATTTCCAAAGGATTAATATAATTATCTCATAGATTTATTTGATTTCAATAATTATTATGGTCTTTTGTATCTTCGTAGTTAATAATATTTAATCAATGATTTAATCATATTTTCAAAGAAACAAAATCAAAAGTAGGAAAAATTTCATTGTCAACGATCAATCGTTAATAATATTTTACGTTCGATGATTAAATCGATCGTAATTATAAAATTCGTTCGTTTCAATAATTTCACCGGTCTTCTTCGATAAAGTCAATTTGATCTTTTTATTGGCACTACGATATTAGATCTTTTTTTTATTATCACGTGATTAGATTTAAATGATTTTATATTCTCGTAATTGTTCATGATTAAATCGATTAAAAGCTTCAATATAATACGATAGGCACTTAGGCTTTTAAATTTTTACACTCGATCCGAATACTTTCAATTCTTTCAACGATCTCTGTCCGACATCGTCGACGTTCGGTTATATACTTATTATCGTTACTCCCCTCCCCCTCCCCACTCTTTCCACTTTCAAAACCCCTTCATGATTTTATAAAGACAAAGGTTCTCGTTCCGGCAATCGATCGATCTTCTGTTAAAGCGGCTTGTCGACACGCTCGTTCGTCGATCCTTGGATTCACGTGATATCGACACAACACACGTTGGTACTTCCCCGAGTTTCTCAACTCGAGATATGTAGAAATGACCGTAACGAGACAGAGACAGAGATAGAGATATAGAGAGAGAAAAAGAGAGAGAGAGAGAGAGAGTTTCGGTTTTTGTATCGATGAATATTAGATCCTCGACTTTACTCGCACTTATCACGTGTCTTTTATCGATTTCACTTAAAAATTTACGATCTTTTATTTTCCACGAATATCAATTTCAATCGTTGAATCCTCGATCAATTGGATTTGAATTTTTTCCAATTAATAATTTTATCTGAAAGATTAATCGGTATTATTTAAAAAAAAAAATATTCATTATTATTATTATTATTATTATTATTTAACATCGATTCGATATTTTCTTAGGCAAAATAATTAACGTAAAAAAAAATAACACGTATACAAATAATAACGCACACATACACACACACGAACACTTCAATATATAAAAAAAAAAAAAAAAAAAAAAAGAAAAAAAAAGGGAAGATTCTTTTTGAAGGATCAATGAAATATATCATTCCTATATAATATGTAATTATATTTTTGTAAGAAAAAAATGATTCATTGTCATTATTATTATCGATTCGATATTATCATTACGATATAATTAATATAAAAGCAAAAAATCCCCTACACGTGTACACACGCTCACATACACTCGCACACACATACACGCTCACGTAAACTCACGCGCACAGTGATTAAAAAAAAAGAAAACACTTCAATTTTCTTAAAAAAAAGAAGAAAAAAAAAAAAAAAAAAAAGAACAAAAAAAGAAAACAAACAAACAAGAAGAAAAAAATATAGACGATTAAAAATTACATAATTACTGCAATAATTACTATTAATTGGTTACTTTAAAAAAAAGTTATAATTACATACCTTATCTCTCTCTCTCTCTCTCCCTCCCTCTCTCCTTCTCCCTCTCTCTCTCTCTCTCTCTCTCTCTCTCTCTCTCTCTCTCTCTCTCTCTCTCTCTCTCTTTCTCTCTCTCTCTTTCTATCTCGTTCGCTCGCTATTCTTATATGGAATATGTCAACATTTGAAACAGACCGTATCGTTACTAGCTACTGCGAGCCGATTACTTTCAACTCGTAATGCAGAATGATCGTTCATACGTATATACGTATGTATATATTTAACAAGGTCTACGAATGGTATGTTAAATATCGAAGTTCTTTACCATTCCACCAACCAACTATCACGTTTTTCGGGACTTCCCAAGATCTTTATGCTTCCATTACTCTGTCCCTCTCTCTCTCTCTCTCTCTCTCTCTCTCTCTCCTTCTCTCTTACTCTTATTCATTGTTGACCTTGCTAACTACGGTCTCGTTTATCACTCGTATTCGAGAATTTCTTCGTATGCGTTTTAATAGCCCGAAGTTATTATTTTGTCGTTAAATTATATTTTTAATTTAATGACGGATAAAAATAAACACGAAACAATGCAATATATATATATATATATATATATATATATATATATATATATGTATGTATTTATATCATATAATAAATATAATTTAATATCTCTATTATATACCGTCGTAGTATCATTTTTATTTCTATATTTTTTTAAGTTCGATTATAATTGATTTTTAGACGTGTATATATATATATCTATTTCGTATATTCGTAATTAGCATGAATGGTTTAAGCGAAAAAAAATAAAATTTATAATATATATATATATATATATATATATATATATATATAATGCATAATTGATTTATTTAAAAATGGTCTCTAGCTTTGTAAAAATATTTGTAACGTCTCGGGTTCCTAGAAAGCTAAATCCTTCAGTGATTTCTGACTCTATCAACATTCTCGATAATCATCGTCATCGTTCTCTCATCGTTCGAAGAATGTGTCTTTTCATTGAACTTTTTATATCACAATCATCGTTGAAAATACAACGAAATGAAACGATACGAAACAAACAAACAAACAAAAATAAATGAAAGAAAAAGGAAAGAGAGAAAAAAATGTACCACTTTCTTTCAGTTTTCTTCGATCGTAGCCAACGTCACTAACGCGAAGCCAACTTTCATTTTATTTGCTTAGAACATAATAAGTAGAATAGTATAATTTTGAAATGAGAAATCTGAAACAATGAGAATTCCCCTGGGATCTATCAACTTACCTACTTACTTATTTCTTTTTTCTTTTTTTTTTTTTTTTTTTTCTTTTTATTTCTTTTTTTTCTTACTTCTTTTTTTGTCCAAGCAATACGAGCGTTCTTCTCGATTTAATTGCCATATCGATCGAATCGCTTTGAAGATCTGCCGTGATAACGAAGTTGGAATTTTTATTTTCTTTTTATTTTTGTTTTGTTTCGTTTTTTTTTTTTTTTTTTTTTTTTTTTTTTTTTTTTTTTTTTTTCCGTTAAAGGAACCACTAGCGTAACGTTTCAATGATCGATTGCGCGATAACGGGGTTGGTAAAAATTGTTTTCGTTTAACTTTAAAAGACTATAAAAAAGACTTGCTCGAAAAATAATGTCAAAATTTTTTGTTCAAACGATAAACACTGACTAAATATCTATATTGTGACGTAAAAAAAAATATTCAAATGGATACGTACATGTGTATATGGATAAAGTAGTTCCTTTTTTTTTTTTTAATTAGGTGGAATAATAAGACTTTTTGAAATGATTAAAAGTTTCGAAAGAATGAAGAAAAAATAAGAAAAAGAAAAAGAAACAGCATATTTGTGCGTACAATAAATAGATAATATCAATGGTATACGTATTAAAAATAATACTTGCATATATATATATATATATATATATATATATATATAAAATAGCTCCTTTTAATTAATTGAGCGAGCTTCGAACGATATATAATATTAAAAGCCTATTTTTATTAACGATTTTATGTTAACCTCATTTCACACACGTTATAAATTTATCGGGATACTTCGTTCGTTTTGTAAATAAATTTTTCTTCCTTTTTTCTTTCTTTCTTTCTTTCTCTTTATCCTTAAATTTTTTCTTTCCCTTTAGATCAACATGCATTATGTGCAACGTAGACACATATACATATATATATATATATATATATATATATATATATATATATATGTATACCTACACTTTTCTATTTATTCTAACATCTTTTTCTCGAAATATTATAATCTATTTTTATTTATTTTACTTTTATTTATCAGTTTTTTATCATTCGAAGAAGTGACGTTAATACACTATCATATACACGTATACACAGACACACACACACACGTTTGTATATATGCGTGTTTGATCTATTTTCGTAGACATTGCGTAGGTATAGATATATCGATATATGCTTTATCATTCGTGCAGTGTGTAGAATACTTGACAGCATATCAATGAGATAACGTAAAGAGCAATTGACGTGATATCGTGAACGTTTGTCATAAGTTTTGATAAACGTTAGACAACCGTTGGGGAATCACTGTACATCAGCCGATTATTATCAACGCGAGATCTCAAACGTTCAATAGTCGCTCTTATCTTTTATAAGTGTAAGGGTGGTCACTACAACGAACAAAGAAATAGTGAAAGAGAAAGAGAGAGAGGGAGAGAGAGAGAGAGAGAAATGCGAAGAAAAAAAATTATTTATTACATTAAGGTAATTAAAAAAAAAAAAAAAGAAATAATAATAATAATAATAATAATAATAATAATAATAATAATAATAATAATAATAATATATGATTCTCTATAGATAACAAACCGCGAGTTACGTGTCGGAACAATAAAGAAAATTTATTTATAATTAATTTGTAAAAGTATATATGTTAAATAATGATTGATTGTAGGACATTACGAATGATGTTATTATCTAATATAATTAATCATTCGTATAATATGTGTGTATGTGCGTGTGTGTGTGTGTGTGTGTGTGTGTATTGCGCATTGAAGAATATAAAAGTAAGGAAACGTTAGAAAGAGAGAGAGAGAGAGAGAGAGAGAGAGAGAGAGAGAGAGAGAGAGAGAGAGAGAGAGAGAGAGAGAGAGAGAGAGAGAGAGAGAGAGAGAGAGAGAGGGAGAAAGTGCATCTTAAACAGAAATGCAATATATTCCGGAAGTCTGATGATTGTTTAAAGAAAAATAACTAAAAAAATATATATATATATATATATAAATATGCATAAATATAAATATCACGTAACAAAGATGATATAATCTTTAGAATTATTCATGTAAAAGATAGAAATCGAAATCGATAATCGAGATCCCATCGATTTCACGTGATCGATGATATTCGATCTTTCATATAAATCTTGCATAATCTTATATATATATATATATATATAGAAATGCATATATACATTGCGTATAAACGCATGTATATAATACGAAAGTATAAACGACGAGAAAAGGTTGTTGTAATGCAATACGTGAGAGAAAGAGCATTGGATTTTCTTAATGATGGTGCCACTTTAATTACGCAAGTAACCAGGGAGACTGCGTTTAATATCGAATAACGATCGAGGTCATGCAAAAGAATTATGTTTGAAAAAAGAAAAAAAAAAGCTTTGCGATCTTTAAAGAAGATCTCAGGTAGGAATAGAGAGAGAGAGAGAGAGAGAGAGAGAGAGAGAGAGAGAGAGAGAGAGAGAGAGAGAGAGAGAGAAAAATAGAGCCTTGGTATATTAAATATACTTCATATTTATGTTGAACAATAAATAATGAATATTTAATATGAAATAGGGGCAAAGGTCAATTATTCGTTTTTCTGACTTTTTCCATAATTAGCTAATTTTTTGTTCTTTTCTTTCCTTCTCTCTCTCTCTCTCTCTCTCACTCTCTCTTTTTTGTCCTTCCTCAGAATGGTAAAGCTACAAGTCTATGTACTTTCTTTTTTTTTTTTTTTACAATCCGGAAAAAGAAAAGAAAGGTAGAGATAAATATCAGTGTTTCGAAAGGTCTCGTAAAAAGAGTACGTAACTGATATCTAAAATCACTTAAGGAATCTTGTTTCAGTCTTTAGTAAAAATTTCCAATAATATTTGTCGGACAACGATTTTATATTATATCATTGAAGTAAATTACATTAGTATTTTTTAATAACAATTTCGACGATTATATTTTTAATAATATAATATATATATATATATATAATATTATTAAAAAATATTCAACCATTAAAGGGTATTAATAATAATAATAATAATAATAATAATAATAATAATAATAATAATAATAATAATAATAATAATAATAATAATAATAATAATAATAATGATAACAATAAAAAGGGTATTAGAAGATAATAATAAAAACGTATGCAGGATGATAATAATAATAAAAAAAAAAAAAAAAAAAAATAATAATATTCAATGATAAAGCATCTATTAATAAAAAAAAGGATATATTAATCATAGAAATGACTCCTCCTATTGTTCTTTTCTTTTTTTCTTTTTTTTTTCTCATGTTCTCTCTCTTTTTCTTTTTTTTTTTCTTTTTGGAATTTTTTCTTTTCCGTTTTCTTTTTTCTTTTTTCTTTTTTTTTTTCTTTTTTTCTTTTTTTTCTTTCCTTTTCCTTATTTATTATTCTTTTTTATTTTTATATCTAAGCTGAAGATGATTGATGAATAGGATTAAGAAATACCGTTTAATCGAAAATAATCAAGATTAAGTAGATCTATCTTGATTATCTTCAATAAGCTCTTGTCATTTTTTTACAATAATAAATATTACTATTATTGTTATTACTATTACTATTACTATTATTACTGTTACTACTATTATTATTAAAATTACTTATGATAATAGTTATCGTAGTCGTGATTTAGGTCAACATTGACACTCCTCAATCAATTCTAACGAATTCAATATTCAATCTTACATATTATAAAAGCATACATTTCGTAATTCTAATTTCACGGTTAGAAGCAATTACAGTTGGAATTATGGAACGGTTCGATAATCAAACCGTGTAATTGATTTACTCCTTCTCGCATGCGATCCAGACACGCACTCCCCTTTAATTTCATTCTCTCTTTTTCTCTCTCTCTTTCTCTCTGTCTCTCTCTTTCTCTCTCCATCAACAAATTTCGAATATTGGTCCAGATAATCGAATATCTTTCCGATTAACGTAGTAGGACGGACGAAATCCGGTATGGAATTGGCTCTTATCGATCTCATTTATCGTATTACTTTTTTGCACACCTCTACAGTTCATTCATTTATTTTTTCTTTCTTTCTTTTCTTTTTTTTTGGTTTTGTTTTTTTTTTGTTTATTTGTTTGTTTGTTAATATACAAACGTAAGTTATATATGTTTTATGGAGGGGTGATCATCGAATCCAATTGGTTTCCATTAATGTATCTATCGTATGATATTGTCGAAAATATAGATCAATTTTTTAATTTTAAATAATCCATGAGAGAGAGAGAGAGAGAGAGAGAGAGAGAGAGAGAGAGAGAGAGAGAGAATGAGAGAGAAAGAGTTGAAAGATACTAAACTTGGTTACATTCATGTAATAGGCTCTCATTAACTGGGCTAGTTCTTTATTATTCTTTGCATGTGTATGTACATATATATACATATATGTACAATTATATCTACACACATACACATACACACACATACACACATGTATATACCTACGTAAGCTTGCGGTCTTAGTATATCCTGTTCGGCTTACATCATGTCACGCTTGATCGTTCCTAAGCAGATTTAGTATCTACGGAAATACTGTATAACGGATGTGAGATATATGAATGCATAATCAGTATGTAATAACGTATGTATGTATATATGTACGTATGTATGTATGTATGTGTGTATATATATATATATATATATATATATGTAAAATTTCTATTACGATTATCTTGTAAATGTATATTTGTATGTGTAAAATGTATTATATCGTTTCTCTGTGCAAAGACATTTTTCTAAAGTACTTCGTTATTCTTATGAAATTAATCAAATTAATTCGACAAATAAATCGAACGAATTAATTTTTTTTATCATTGTTTACATTCGTAATGAATGACACGTACTTATTATTATTAGTCGGGAGGAGTTGAGGGGGGGGGGGAGGGAGAAGTAAAAAGAAAGAAAGGAAGAGAAAGTAAAAGAACAAAAAAGTGAAACTGAATATTTGACATGGACGTGAACATTGACATCTGACATGGATATTTTAAGATTGACCTTGAAAAATGACCGAGTTTATCCTTATTTGGTTTGGGTCACGAAATGTCCTGATTCATGAAACACCTGTCGTTTTTCACCCTTCACCCCTTCCCCATCTTTGTCTCTCTCTCTCTCTTTCTGCCCATCTTTAGTTTTGAACTTGAATAACTGCTTTCAAAGCAGTTATTCAAGTCGATCACAAACAAGGAAGATATGTAAAACAGCTGATTATTCCTTAAGATCCTTTCGTTCTTCGTCCGATTAATCGATATTTTTTTTATTTAATTTTATTTAATTTTTTATTTATTTATTTATGTTTAGAAACATTACGAGCAAGGAAAATAATTACTATCTTATTATTGACACGAATCAGATTAATATTTTTGATCAATTCTAACGTCTGATATATATATATATATATATGTATCTAATTGTAGAGTTTAAAAAAAATGATCGATGCTTTTTTACGAAACTTTTCAGAATGGCAAGGACGATATGAATGATTCATCGACGGTCATCGAGCGGCAGCTCGATATGGATGTAACTCTCGAGGACAACAATTTGAAAGTATTGCCAATGCAAAATGTGGCACGACAAGATTCGGGAGTACCAGAGGATCTTGTATCTCCGGTTTGTGATGCTAACAATAAGTCGTTGGACGACGAGGATCCAGATTGTACTATGAACAGTGACTGTAATATTACGGTGATACACGTTACGGAATTGGAAAATCGTAATAAGGAAGGAGATAGATCTTCGTCTACGTCTTTGGTTAATGTCGATAGAAAAGAATATACGGGTGAGAGTAAGGATAGCAAAGATGGAAGCGATAGTGGAGTCGAGGGTTGCGCTACTGAAGTACCAAGAGTAAGGAAATATTACATTATGTTTTTTATTTATTTATTTATTTTTAAACTTGCTTCTACTTTTATATTTTATTATTTTACTTGCTTCTACGTTGATGTTTTGTAAATGATATAATTAGAATTAAGTCAGTATGAAAAATGAATGTATACACGTGGAGAGGCACAACTTCGTAAAAATTTCGAGAAATCGTAGTTCGTATTTATTTATATGGAAGAACATTGAGAGAGGGTGCAGGGACGGAGGGAGAGAGGGGGTGGGGGGAAGAAAAACTTGAGAAAAATGTCTTACACATTGATAATATACTTCATAAATAAATAAATATCTAATAATCGTAGTTATCGTGTTTACAGGTACGTAGCCGAAACAGTATAGACTATGCCAGTAGTTGTGGTGGTCTTGACGAAGCTTCCTGCGATTCGAGTTTAGTCAGTTGTTGTTCGGTATACGAAGATCCATGTGCGACGTTACCTGATGACGTTAGATTAACAACAGGTGGCGAAGGTACAAGCGAAGGTGGTAGCGAAAGTTCATCGATAGCTGGTAGCGTATCAGCTAGGGCAAATCGTAGTAGTAACGTTAAAAGGACCTCGACTGTTTCAAATTCGAGTAAAAAGAAAACGATTAATAGCGAGACACCGAAGACGAGCCGTGCAAAGCCAGCTCTTTTGAATGCCAATTACGTACCAACGACTCCACGTTCGAAACCAAGGATCAATACGCCAAGAAATATTATTGGTAAAACGCAACCGGTGATTAAAGACAGAGCAAGATCAAGGGAAAAATCAGGTGCAAGAGAATCGAATTGCGATAGTAGTACAACAACCGGTAATACTCGTATGTCGTCAAATTTTCGTTCTACCACTGGCACGGCACAACAAAGAACGAGAACAAGACCAATACCACCAGATTCACTGCCTTCGGTTTTGACTACAGAAATAAATAAGGATCTTGCTCAACGTGGTAGTAAAGGTGGTTCAAGTGGTTCAAGATCCCGTGGTGGTTCTAGTACTAGGATAACAACACGTACACCGGGCTCAACTCCGTCCGAGGAAACACGAAAACCATTGCCAACTTCACGTACACTTTATAATAATAATAATAATAATAATAATAATAATAATAATAATAATAATACCGGTAGAACAGAACCGGTTAAGAATTTACGTTTGGATAAAATGACTATTAGTTTGGACAACAAAGCATTGGATGCTTATGCGACATTACCACGTAGAAATAAGAATAAAATGACGATTGTTAAAGGTAACGAGAAGACTGACAAAATGGTCAGGAGCAGATCTGGTAGTAGAGATGGTAGTATTGGTAGACAACCAGATAAAAAGGCGCTAAGTGTTAGGGATTCAGTTCATAAAAGTTTACCGCCTTATCCTAGAAATAAACCAATCGAAAAGACAAGGATTTATCATGAGATTGGAATACAAACGGGCTTAACCGGGAACGATATAGACAATGCATTGTCTGGTATACCTAGTGCCGTACCAGGACCCGATATAATCGAACGTTTGCACGAGACTGTTCAGACCGATGGCACATGGGAGGACATGCAGACAATGCAGAATGATTTGAAACGTTTGAACGAGGAAACTAATGTAAAGAAGGAAGAGAATGATAAGCTCAAAACTGAAATAGTCGAGGTTAAACGTCTTTTGGAGGAAGAACAAGCCGATCATGCATTTGCAAGGCAAGAATTAGATAGAAATGCACGAAGAGTTTTGGCTATGTTAGGTACACCGCAATCAGAACATGCAGGTAAAAAAATATATATATGGATGTAATTATTTATAAATGAATAAATTTATTAATATATAAATATTTCGTGAATAATAAAGAGAGAATTATTTTAGAGGGTAGCGACAGTTTCTTAGAATTAGAATCTCATTTGCAATCTTCGGGACAAGTTGTTGCCAATCAACAAATTGAAATAGCCGATCTACAATCACTTTGTCGTATGCTTAGCAGGGTAAGAGAATAATTTTTCAATAATAATTAATATTAATGATCTCAAACGTTACGATATTTGTTATGATAATTTTAGGATTTGGAAAAGAGTTTAGCGGCGCAAAAAGCATTGTTACAGCAACAGCAAGAATTGGAGGCGGAGTCCGCGGAGATGCAAGATTTTCTTCAACAAGAAAAAACAACTCTGGCAGACGCGTTAAAGGATGCCGAGATCGAGGTACAGTTATTGTAATAATAATAATAATAATAATAATAATAATAATAATAATAATAATAATAATAACAACAATAACAATAACAATAATAATAATAATTTTTTTTATACCGGTCATCATCAATGCGGAACTTGATGTTTAACGAACTTCTTTTGTATATTGCAATTATCTAGCTAAAGAAAAAGGAAGAAGCATTGACTCAACGAGAGGCGGAATTGGAAAGGCAGACGGAAGAATGTAAACATTTAGTCCGAATCAGTGAACAGCGAAGGTATGCCATTATATTAAAGTGTAAATACCGTAAATGTATTGATAAAGATCGCGTTACGTTAATTCTAAAAATTATCTATATTTATATTGTATTAGTTTTATTATTATTATTATTATTATTATTATTATTATTATTATTATTATTATTATTATATTTATTACGTACAGGCAAGAGAATTTGTCATTGAACATGAAATTAAATGCGGTCGAACGAAAAGGTAGAGAACTATTATTAACCCAAGGTGCTACAATATCTGGCGCATCGGTGGCACTTTCAGGTCTTGGAACACGATTGGAGGGATTGGTAGATCAATTAATAACATCTTACAATATTTCAGTGAAAGATCTCGAGGTAATATTTATTCTATCGTTAGATATACATTCATTATCTACAATATCTTGAAATGTTGTTCGTTAAGAGAGAAGATACTTAAAAGGATGCTTTATTAAAGGATGTAGTATATCATAACGAAGCATACAGTCGAAGCAACAGTAGTGTAGAATCGAGTCCTGTTAGCTCAAAGAATAGCTTAAAAGAATGTACTCCTAGTCCAAAAAGTGGTTCCTTTGTTTCCGCTGTTATCGGTGCTATCCGTAACGCAGCGACACATCCTTTCGTAACAAAGACTGTGGATAAAAAGTCATCAATAGAATCGACGAAACAAATGTATAAAGGTATACAAATCGATAAAATATATGATAATATATTTTATCGTTTATAATATTTATTATATTACATTAATTTTGTAGTTTGTGTATGTATGTATGTATGTGTGTGTGTATATATATCTTATATCGTTAATATTGTAAATTTTGATTTTATTTACATTTTTATATATCAATATAGACATAAGTATGGACTCGTCTTCCGATTTACTTGATTTTGAAACCGAACCATGTTTAATGATGGAAAGCGTATTGGAAGATGTTACATTGCCGGATACTTATTCGCACAATATGATATCTAGTAGCGATTCTCTTCGTAGAGCTTTAAGCTTTCCAGAAACTGTCGATGAAAATAATATTAAGAAGACGAAAGCATTAGACGAATGTACGAGTTTAACGAATCTCACGCAAGCTATATTACATCGTAGAAAAGTAAGTCAATGAAAAATTATTTTATTATTTTTTTTCTCTCCTTTTTTTTCTTTTTTTTTTTTTTTTTTCTTTTTTTTCTTGTCTCTTTTTTTTTGTGATCTTGCAACAAACAATCACAAAGAGTATCATTTAAATATTTTCATTACTTTCAGGTACAGGACGAAGAGGAAGATGATTGTGAATCCATAAGTGAATCAGACACTGGGACCAATGACGGACCACTTCCTTTAACGGATTATTGTCCAGCAGTAAGCCTTGTCGATCAAGTAATAGACGTTGATAATCTAGTTACGAAACTTTTAAAGGTGTTGCGAATAATACAGCTTGAAAATGATACGTGTATACAAGAGTTAAAGGAAGATAAGTAAGTAATAATGTGCGTCAGTTATTAAATAAAAATTAATAATTATTCTAAACGATATATAATTTATCTGGCATTACGTTTATATTTCTTTTATTTTTATTTTTTCTTCTCTGGTTTTCTTTTCTTTTTTTTGTTTTTTTATATTTCGTTTTTCATTCTTTTTTTTTTTTTCCTTCAAATCCATCAACCTTCTCCAAGACGCAATATATGAATTTCGTTTTGCAGATGTGATTTAGAAACAAAATTAGAAGTTGCCTTGACCGAATTAGATGAGCTACGTAAGATCGTAGATAGTACCTATCAATCCGAAGACATTTTATGCAATATGCCAGATCGAAAGCGTAGCGTCGTGGAAAATTGTCGTCTTCTGATTAAGGAGGTAATTGCCGATGAAATAATCGATAAATATATGTAAAACGCTACTAACATCGTTGCCATATCTTTTTTTTTGTTTTTTAACGGACGATTGCCTTGTTAAAAAAAAAAAAAAAAATAAAAAAAATAAAAAAAAAAAAAACAAAAACAAAAAAAAAATAAACAAAAAAAAACCGAACAAACAAAAGATGTCAAATGGAATAATTCCTCTATAGGCGGGTAAGGAGGAATTAAAATTTGATGAGCCCGCAGACGCTAATAATAGTGGCTCCCCAGAAGCTAAAAACTGTGAGGATCTCAACGCAAACGAAGAAGCCGAAATCTCCTCTTAAGTAATAAATTTTTGAGTATTGACAATGTTATAACATTTATGTGCAACCATTTTCTTTTTATATATATATATATATATTTTTTTTTTTCTTTCTTCGTCTTGCTCTCCTTTTCGTTTTCTTTCTATCTTTTTTCTTTTCTTTCTTTTTGTTTTTCTATGTTCTTTTTCTTTTTTCTTTTTTCTTTTTTTCTTTTCTTTTTTTTCCTTTTTTTTTTTTTGTACTTTTCAATTTAATCGCTTCGTGTAAAAAATGGAAACACCTTAGACGTCCTTTATTCATCGTTATTATTTATAAATGTTGCCATGTCAGAAATTATTTACGTGTCTTTTATAACGACAAGATTAACGAATGCTTGTAATGGTAGTTTTGTACAGTTCGTGTCTTTTCTTTCTTTCTTTTCTTACTTCCTTTCTCTTTCTTTTTCCATTCTTTTTTTTTTTTTTTTTTTTTTTTTTTTTTTTTTAATATATTCTCTTACTCGTATCGACGATTCTCACATTATCACATAGACTGTGTGTTTTCTTAATCACAGGAAAATATCTTGTATATAGTGAACAAATATTGACGACACTAATTAATTAATTAATTAATTAATTAATTAATTAAGAAAGAAACAAAGAAAAAAAGGGGGAAACCATCCCCCTCCATAAAAGAGAAAACAAATAGAAAAGAAACAAAAAAAAAAAAAAAAAAAAAAAAAAACACAAAAAAAGGAACAAATCAATATTCGCTCGTAATAATAATGGAGAAAAAAAAAAGCTCGAAATTAGATTGGTTTGAATCGAGCGTAGATTTTCAAAATGAATTGCTCTTTTAGATCATATTGATTAAAAAGAAAGGAATAAATAATATATTCTGCTCTCTTAAAAATTATTCATTACAATCGTAGAATTTAGAAAGTTCAAAGCAAAGAAAAAGAAGCAAAGAAAAAAAAAAAAAAAAAAAAGAAAAAAGAAAAAAAAAGAAAAGAAAAGAAAAGAAACGAAAAAAAAAGAAAAGAAACAACCGCATCTCGCGTATATTGTAATAGTTTTTTTTTTTATTTTTTTTTTTTTTTTAGAATACCATTTGTACTCCTCTTACAGAGAGTGCATTTTATTTATCAATGAAGTTCCAAAGAGTTTTGCAATCTCGCACAAGCGATTCTTGCGTATAATAAGATATAGAGAGAAAGAAGATTTGAAAAAAATTCATAAAAACAAAATTGGATGTTGATCATTAAAAATCCTTTTTGTTCTATGAAAGTATTCAAAATTAATAATAATATATACATAATGTTTTCCAAAGTCGAGAGAACACAGGGTAACACTAGTTTTACAATATAATTATTATTATTATCATTATTATTATTACTACTATATTATTATTATTACTATTAATACTATTAAACAAAAAAGAAAAGAAATAAATAAATAAAAATAAAAGAGAAAAACAAACGAACGAACAAAGGAACAAACAAACAAAGAAAAAAAAAACGAATGATGTCGAACGTGTGACAAATTAATTGATAAAAATAACGAATGGAACGTTAAATATATACGGACACAAAATATGATCATGACAATTTGAACATATGTATGTATGTATGTATGTGTCTCGTTTACTCGTTATTACAGTCATGAACATATTTAATAATAATAGTCAATTGGAATTTCATTTTTATCGTGAGTAAGTCAGTTTATAATTTTAAGTGTTTAACGATGAACAATATAGTCGGACGATGCTATATAATGCTGCTTTATATATATATATATATATATATATATATATATATATATATATATATACTAGAATTGCAATATATTTGAAAATGTATTCTTGTATACACATCCTCGACTTCCAAACATAAGGACGCATATATTTTAATGATTGTATATAAACAGAAACTGTGACGCTTATTTTCCATTATCGTGTGTTTCACAAGCCAATATAAAATTTCTTCTTAAAAAATGCATTACGTGTTATTTAAAGAGAACTGTATTCGCGAAGTGTCTTCTGGAAATAATCATCATTTTCGAAAATAAAATAAAATAGAATAAAATAAAAAAAAAAAAAAAAAAAAAAAAAAGAAAGAAAGAAAGAAATAAAAGAAACGAGCGATTCCACCCAATTAAATTGTACATGCAAAGGAGCATATATATAGTCTTAAGCATTTTTATACAAAATATTACGAAGTATTGTGATCATATACCAAAACAAAAAAAAACATACACATATACGCGCGCGGCGGGCATGTACACACTCACAATCACACTCATACACACACACATTTACACACATACGGAGCAGACATAAAAATAACCAGAACAAAAATCATAGACAATGTATTTTAATTTTTAATCAAATATATTTCATTTCAAGAAGAAATTGTGAAATAAACTGTATCGATAAAACGTGTGCATTAAGATAATCACATTTTAGATCGATAAATGATACAGGTGAGTATATACTGACGATTTACAAAATGATTGCATATAATATAATATAACGATCATTATATATATATATATATATATATATATATATATATATATATATATATATTTATTAAACATATAGTATTACAAACGTGCTTATGCCACCCTAATTTATTATATAGGAAATCTATTAAACGAAGGCATAAACAAAAATACTTTTAAGATATTAAGATTAAGTATATATATATGTATATATATATATACTTAATAAGTAATGGATTATATATCACATTTTCATATTACATTATAGTAAAAATAAGTCTTCGAAGATTTTGTTTAAAATTCAGTATTGGATTCATTCTTTGTGATAAAGACGGCGTATAAAGGGAGCAAGTAGATTCATTAAACGTAAACTGGATCTGTAAAAAAGACAATTTAATGAGAATAATAAATTGGTTCTTAACTATTATAATTATTTGAAAAGGAAAAGAATAGGAAGAAGAAAAAGAAAGTAGAAGATAGAAGAAAGTTTAAACCATTTACCTGTGTGTAGATTTCGATGAGACAGTTGGTTTCTCCAAATGTTCGACATTTGGTTTCTCATCTTCTGGTTTGGCATTGTACAACATAGATTCGAGCAACGATATGTCAGATTGATTGGTACCAATGACATCACCAGCTAATAAAAGAGCTTCGACTGGTGCAACGACCACAACTACGCCGTCAACGTGAATACGATAATTGTCAGTGCCATTTTGTCTTTGATCATAATGATCACCGGTGTTAGAAAGTGTTGAGGATGAGGATGAAGTTGTAGATGAAGATTCCTCAATTGGCAAACACCTTACGTGAGTTCCAACAAATGCAAATAATAATAAAAGAGTTGTAGTTTTGAACAATCTCATATTAATCGAGAACATTGTTAGATCCACGACGTTATAAAAAAAAAAAAAAAAAAAAGAAAAGAAAATCAAAAATTATTATAGATTCTCTTTGAAATGGGAATTAAACGCGACACGATTTTTTTTCTTCTTTCTTTCTTCTTTCTTTCTTCTTTTTTTGTTTTTTTTTTGTTTTATTTTTCGTATTATCTTTTGCGACTTAAGAAAAGTGACGATAGGAGGAACGTCTTGACTATACGAAGGACGAACGAGGTATGACCTCCGCTAGGTACCATCGACCAGGAAAAGATACCTGGTCCCACCACTTTGCCTCCTGATCACCGGCTACCAAGTTCAAGAACCTGTCGAAGAACCGAATCGACTTTTTTTGTCTTGTCGTTCTACGTCTTATATATGTATATATATATATATATATTTTATCTCTTTTACGATTCTCTTTTAATATATTCCAATTAAACGCAATTCAAATGAATGATTTATTCAACGATTATCAAAAGTTTGTTTCTCGATAATAAAGACGCATAATATAATTTATTAATCGTTGCAAATTCAAACAAATAAATATTATAAATTTTCCTATGATAAATATAAGTTAAATATTTTATCATATTACTTGTATAAGTATTTGAAAATATTTTTTTGCAGTTAAATATTCAGACGACTTGTATATTAACTCGATTCGTCCGTTTGGTTGGTTGTTAATCTAGCATAAATTAACGGATTCGATATAGTACAGCAAAAAAAAACAAAATTCCTACCAGATTTCGAATAAACAAATGAACAAAATACACACACACACACACACATATATATATATATATATATATATATACATACACAAAATTTGATATTCAAGAGTGGATCTTCTATCACAAACACAAACGAGGAATGTTCAAACCCGTTATAATCGAATCCTGTTAACATTCTATACGGTGCTTCAATGTCCTATCGTTTCTACTTTTTTTTTTTATTTATTTATTATTTATTTATTTATTCATTCGTTTTTTTCTTTTTTTTCTTTTCTGAACTACCAACTGTCAAAATATTATATGGTTGTTAAGGCTTCGTAAAGTGATTACATGGCGGAATCAATTGGTTTATCATCGTCATCATCTTCATTATTGTCATCATGGTCATCTCTCGAATGATATAAACGAGATTCGATTTGTAAAAGGGCAACGTCCTAACGTGGCCCCCATCGAGAGTATTCGTTTCCTCGATTCTTCCGGCTTGTGCTTCTCCTACATAAAAAGCCGTCCCCGCTTACCGTAACCTTGCCCTTGCGTTCACGTTTCTCATACGTGCACCTGAACACATACATACACACACATACACACATATACACACACACATATACACATATACACATATGCACGTATGCACGCCCGTAAGAACTTTACAAAAGAAATGCAGTTCTACTTCCGCGTTTGCATTACGGATTTTTCGCAAGCGAATTGCGATCTTTCCTCTTTGTATTACTTTATTTAGAAATCAGGAAAAAAAAAATTATACGTTTGTATGTTTAGTCTTTTATTTTTTGTCTTTTTCTTTTTGTTTTTTTTTTTTTTTGGTATAACATCAAGACAAACTTCAAGACTTAGGGATTGGTAAGGAATCTTTGTAAACAACAATGACGATTTTATCTGACAATAAATTTATTTATTTCGTATAGAAAAGAATAGGAGGATTAATCATATTCGATATTCTTTACATTTTTTTTTTTCTAATGTTCTTTTTTTTCTTTCTTTCTTTTTTTGTTTTTTTCTAATAAATACAAAATATATATAATAATAATGTAATATTTATCGACAATTATATAGATATATATATATCTACGTATGAAATCGACGATTTGATCCTTTTTATTTAATCGAATCTAGGACGATTATATGATATAATTGTTTCGTCGTAGTTCAATGGAGGTATGTCTGAAAGAAGAAAAAAAAAGGAAAAAAAAAAAAAAAAAAGATAAGAAAAAGAAAATCTTTCCCTCCCCCTTCACCTCCCCGCCCTTCTACCACCCTTCCCACAACAACAATAACAATAACAACAACGATAAGACTTCAATTACGTGACCATAATATTACCCGGGGAAAAAAGAAACACTAATGGACGAGGGTAAATATATAAAAACATGTTCTATCCTAATATCATTCTAAATGATAAGGTCAATAATTTTGATACTGACTGCAGTATCGTTCATTGAAGTTTGTTCGTCGTATTAGCAGAATCCTGTTGACCGTTTAACGTTGTCCTTTCGTCGTCCTCCTTCGAAGTAGATCCTGATGAATTATTCTTGGAAAGTGATTGCGAGTTGTTAACTTGTTGGGTCAATTCGAAATCTTGATCTTTACGATCGTTCAAATGGTCATCCTCCTGTTTTCCTAATTCTTTCAAATCCTGAAGATCCTTATCGTTGTTCTTTGGAATCCTTATGATGTCGACCTTATAAGGTTTGCCAGTTTTAATATTTTCACTAATATCCTCGTTCATCAATGACAATATTGGCTCATTCTGTACGGCAATCTTATTTTTCTGACCGACCATCAATTGTCTCGTCATCGATTTAAAATCGAGAAAGGATAGATCATTAAACAATGATCCCTTGGTTATGAAAACGAAAAAGAAATTATCTAAATCGGCACGAACGTTCATTTTGCCGTCCTGTCGTTGATCGTACGTAATCGGTGCCGCATTGGAATAAAAGAAAATTGACAAAGTGACAATGAACAGACTTGATAGGATCATTTTGATTTTAATTTCTTCGTCTTTGTCTTCGTTGCCTTTTTCTTTTTCTTCTTCTTCTTCTTGGAATTTTTGATTTTTTGAAAGAGAAATGAACAAACAGTTTCAACGATGCTCGTGCGAAGTTCGATCGACGACTGATGTAAGATTTCTGCTTTCCTTCGTCGTGTAACCATCACCGATGATAACGATGAAAAGGAGAGGGTAAACGAAGAAAAGTAAGGTGTCCAAAGAATATTCAACCGAGACCATTTACCGTTGATCATTTATACTTTTTTTTTTTTTTTCACTTTTTTTTGCTTTTTTGGTCCTTTTTTGGCCTCGCTCGTTCGTACCGTATTATCGTATGAATTTTTAACCGGTGATTTGCAAGTCTGTCCGAAACGATAAGATGAAATATAAATAATGAAGAAAAAGAAGAAGAAGAAGAAGAAGAAGAAGAAAGAGAAGAACGAAATATGGGAAGAGTTAATAAATTGAGATAATATTTATTCAAACACAATTTATTTTCGTTTATAAGTAGTTATATATATATATATATATTTTTTTTTTATTGATAATACTTCTAAAACTACGTCCTACGACGCGTTTTCTTTATTTGTTGGTTTTTTTTTTTTTTTTTTTTTTTTAACGTAACAAAAAGAAGGAAAACTAATACTCTTTTTAAGTTTAATAATAGAAATTCACTTAATGATATCAATTGATCTAAATCACAATGAATTTTTGTTGGAAAGATTATATTATAATAAAACAAGAATTGTATTTAATAAACGTGAATAAACGAACGAACGATTACATTTTCTTTTTTCTTTTTTTTTTTTTTGTGTGTTTTTTTTCCCCTCCTTAAGATTATCACAACGTTTATATCAGTCTTCGATATTGTTAGAAAATATCAATGACGGAGTTTGCATCGATCCAACGAAAATATTTTTAAAAGTGAATATTCTGTAAAAGAAATTATTTTGAAAATAACGATGTAAATCATTTATATAGAAAATAAAATCATACATAAGAATCTAAGATAAAGTTATTTATTTATTCGTTAAATCCTTACTTGCAAATTAAAATCTATAATTTTATAAATTGACAATACGATCGGATCATGATGGAGAAACGTAGAAAAATATATATTGCGAAGAACTTATATCATATAATTTCAAAATCACGTTAATTAAAATCACGACATGATTACATTATCAATATTTATAAAATACATATTTGAGATTTATAATGTAACTATAATCTTATAAATGAATAAATTCTTATCAATGAAAATCTCAAGCTTTCGACAAGACATGTAAATAATAAAATTGAACAAATTCTGTATGGAAATATGTTATATATATATATATATAAAAAAAATAAAAATAAAAAAAAAAAACCATCATCGAAATATAATCTCCCGTATCCATATTGACGGATAATTTTACATTTAATTGTTTACTAATAAATTTGCGATACATGAATGCGCGCACGTACGCGCACAAACGCACGAATAAAAAAAAAAAAGAAAGAAAGAAAATAAAAAAAAAAAAAACAAGAGAAAACGAACACAAAGTACATACACAAATGTCGCTTTTGTGTTTGACATTAAATAAAAATTAAAGTAAAATAATTAAAATAACATAATTATTATCCAAATGATACAAATTTGGAACGATTATTCGATGATTGTATCTTCAAGATATCTCTAAGCTGTGCTCTCTTTTTTAACGGTGATCTTGCAATCACTATGATATCTTCTTTATTAGACGAAGTTTCTATTTTATCTTCTATCGTTGATATCGTTGCATTTTCCGTAGATTGTTCGATCCTTAATGTAGTAGTCATTGAATCGTTCGTTGGTGTAATTTCTGTGGAATCCGTTTTGATGATCGAAGATGTAGACGCATTAATGGACGAAGTACTCGAGGGTTCAACCGAGGCCGAGGTCGTAGGCTTTGAAATCGGTTTTATGGTAAAGTCAGCGTAATCGTAAAAGTAATCATAATCCTATAAAATAAAAGAAAAAGAAAGAAAAAAAAACAAGAAGAAAAGAAAGAAGAAGAAGAAGAAGAAGAAAATTATTTAATCATTATGATCACACGCAAAGAGTGTTCGTATCTTTCAGCAAAAAGAAGAAAAAAAAAAAAAGAGAGAAAGCATTCATAATTAGAGAAGTTCATTCATATATATTCACTCATATATATTTAACTATTTGTTCTCTCCTCTCTCTTTTTATCAAAGAAGTGAGAAAAAGAAAGAGGAGAAGAAGAAGAAGAAGAAGAAGAAGAAGAAGAAGAAAAAAAGAAGAAGAAAAAAATAGAATCTTCTTATCTTATCTTATCTCAAATATACACACACACACACACATACATACATACATATACATACACACAGAGACAAAAAAAGAGATACACTTTTAATGATCATATTTTCATTTACCGTGTAATCTTCTAATATCTTAGAATCAACAAAAGCGAGTATCTTCAGATCCTTCAAGTCGATTCGAACGTTGTGCTCGCCTGTCTGCCGTTGATCGTAAGTCACGGTAGGCTTGGTAAGTACCGTGTCGAGTAGAAGATAAGTGTGAAAACAAAATGCAAAGGCGTAAAAAACAAACGACATGATTGGGAAATGACCGTTTACTTTGTGTGATGTATATATAAACAAGACACAACACAACACTTAAGTAGAAAGGATCGGATCGGATCGGATTGGATCGGATCGGTTGCGGATCTTCATACAACGCGAACTTTTGTAAAAATGTAAGCGAACTGTACGTCGTAGATGAGAAGAAGAAGAAGAAGAAGAAGAAGAAGAAGAAGAAGAAGAAGAAAAAGAAAAAGAAGAAGAGGTTCGCAAAGTTCGAGCAAAATCTTCACTGCTAGAATCACTATCGTTTAAATCTATACGTACTACCATCTATTTCTGGACGAAAAACCGGTATTCCTTTCGCGGTTGAATGCTCGAGAGAAGCTACGATACCTCATCGATGGCCACCTCGATGGCTTCTCTTTGGTAGCCTCTTCTCTGTGTCTTCTTACTGTCCGGACATTGGCCTCTTCCACGAGTCCACCTGTTTTCTTCTCTTCTATAGTACGTTTCAAAATAAACGCGTCCATCATACAATTATACACGTAATTATTATACGTATACACTTTTTTTTCGACACGTTAAACATTTTTTTCAATTTTATATATATATATAATAGAGATAATATATATATATAATTAAAATAAATATATATATAATATATATAATATAATATATATATGTATAAATAAAAAAATAAATAAATATATATATAGGTTTATAATAACACGTTTGAGCAGTATATAATTATATTATGATATTATATATAATAGATATTAATTCGTATCTATTAACACGTTAGACATATTATTTCATAATACGTACGTTTGAAAATAACGCGCCACACACAAAAGTCCATATTACATACATTATATATGTATATACACATATATACGTATAATACGTGCATCGTGATTACGTTAGACATTTGTCTATAGAGTACGTTTCAAGTTAACGCGCCATTTCTTTATATATATATATACATATATATAAAATATCTCATATTGTTTTTACGTAGAAATAATGTAGAAGAAATTTATATGTTATTTGTTTATTTATTTATTTATTTATTTTTTTTTTAAACATCCTATATACATATATATATATAAAAAGAACGATCGTATTCCTTGCACGAAATATGCAAATAAAATACGACATCAAGTGATTAACTTCGATACGAGAATACGTTATTTTGATATGCTACGAGACACGAATATCAATTTTATAAGAGGTTATTCCATTCGCACGAGGAATTCAATTCTTCATTGGATTGATCGTACATATGGGAGAGAGACAAATCTTAGTATATTTACGTTTGTATTGCCTTCTCGAAGTTGAGAAAATATTTGACCTTTAACGCGACGTACAACAAGGAGCTTAACATCCTTTGAACTTTCGTTCGAACGACTCAAGTTATAATTCTCATCTTTATCCTAGATAAGTTGTGTGGCATCGGGAAAAACTTAAACGTAACACGTATGAGAGAATTCATCGTCCGATGTCCTTCGAACAAGTTTATTAAGCGCGACGGAAAAATATTTTTAAGATTTCTTTTTTCTTTCTCTTTTTTCTTTCTTTTTTTCTTTTTTTTTTTTTCCTTTTCTTATTTCCACGATCTCGATCGCAAGGAGAAAAACGAACGTTTTGATTTCGCTTATAATGAATTAATAATAATAATAATAATAATAATAATAATAATAATAATAATAATAATAATAATAATAATAATAATAATAATAAAAGGTTATCGTTATTAAATCGAATAAATTTCAATGAAGTATCGAGAAACGTTAAACAAATAATTCCGGCTTATTGTCGCATAATAGAAAAAGTTTAATCGCGGAAGTGCTTAAAGGAACGTGCAAAAAGCAAAAATCAAATTTAATTAACGTCATTAAACAAAAATCAAATTTATTTTGTAATATACAATATATATTTATTCGTCTAACGTAAAAATATAACGTTATAGATTATAATCATTGATATAAAGGATTAAGAAAATATGAAGGAAGGTTAACCTATGTCTCGATGTAGCGAATCATAAATGGATTCGCGATGACATTAATGACAGTTCCTTCGGATGTTGCGCGTTGCATATGTATGTGATCGACGAATCTTCTCATCGAAACGTTTCCATTATTATATCTTCGTAATTAATATAAAGAGGAATAATAATAATCAATTAGATCGATTCAAATTGTTGAAAGTATTCATCGACGGGAAAGAAAGAAAGAGAAAGAGAGAAGAAAAAAAAAACAAACAAACAAACAGACTCAATAGATTTTCCTACATTCGTTCGTCATATCGCGTTCTTTATCATGTTCCTCTCTGACGTAAAAAATGTTCCAATTTTTTAAGAAATCTGGTAATTATTTAATTATTTGAATTATTATGAAATAAAATTAAATACGTTGATCAATATATCGTCAAAAGGATTGATGATGTTGTTTAAAAGTAACATAACCTCCTTAATCAAAACAACACATCTTTTTTTTTTGTTTTCTTACATTTGTTTTCAATAACTCCAGATAAGCATATTATCTAAACAGTTACGTAATACTTGATAGGTCCTTTTTTATTTTTTTTTTTGTTTTTGTTTTTTATTTTTTTTATTTTTTTTTCCTTTAGTTATCTCTTTCAACAAGTAATAAAAAGATATTTTATGTTTGTATTTTAAAACTATGTGTGCTTACATTGATTCAATATTATGTTTTTTATTTTCAGGGCAACGAGACAGGCCCAGATCATTGTACGCTTCTCCAACAAAATCAACAAAATTAGAAAAGACATTTGGAGATGAATTTGGTGATAGTGCGTCGATCTATATACCGTCAAGTATATTGTGCAGCCTTGAGGAGGAAGAGGAAAATGAAATTCTTAAAGAAGAAAAAGACAATAAACGACCATTTGGGTCTCAATTATCTAAAACGCTTCCAGAGATACTTGCGGATAAGGGTGCCCTAGGTTACTTTATCCAATTTATGGATACAAGAAATTCAATAGCTCTTATAAAATTTTGGTTAGAAGTCGAATGTTTATGTGGATCATTTCCTAACTTCCATCTTGAAGATGAAAATGTGGAGAATTTGAATTTTAAGAATGATCATACTACGAAGTCCGATACCTTCGCAGATTCATTGGACGATAATGATAACTTTAATTGCAATATGCTGCAGGGTAATATTGAAAATCGCAATAGAGAAAAGGGACTGTATAATGAAATTGTAAATAGTAATGATGTAAAATCAAATTGTAATGACATGCCAAAGATTAGTGAGATGCTAAGTGGTATGCGACAATCAAATCGCAAATGTGAAAATAAAAGGGGCGATATGACAAATACTAGGGAAGATGCTTTAAGAATTTATAAAAAATATATTATTAAAGAAACATTGGGTACTAATCGAATTCCTGAGGAACTAAAACTAGAAATAGAAAATGCTCTTAAGTGCGAAAACCTAGAGCCTATATTACGGTGCCTATCTAACATTCAAAATATTATATTTGATGTTATAGAAAAGGAGTAAGTATAATAAAATTTTTTAATACAAGTAAAAAAGTACTATGCAAAGATTATGATATATATTTGTTTGAATTTATAGATATATTAATGACTTCCTTCGAAGTGAATTTCATTGTAAACATCAAATTGATGTTTTAACAAGTGGAAATGTACAATTAGGAGACATATTATATAATGAAACAGCATTTTTTTATTTCATGGAGGTATAAATTTTTATTATATTGCGTTTTATATGATAAATTTAATAATTTTACATTTAAATTTATTCATTTCAGTTTATGGAACTTGAAAATAAACGCGAGCTTTTAGATTTTTGGATGGCTGCAATCAATTACAAGCAAAATCTTTTGGAAAAGAAAGATCCAATAAATCCTGAGGAAGCTCAATCTGATGCTCTTATTATATACGACAAGTAATTGATACTTTTTACTATATATTTTTATATATATATATATTTTTTTTTTTTAGAACATATACAAGTAAATACATGACAAATTATATAATGTAAATGAATTCATAATGATACAATATTGAAATCTAAAGCATGTGTCTTCAGATATTTTAGTTTGCAAGCAACAACGCCACTTGGGTTTATTGATAAAATTCGTTTCGAAGTTGAGCAAAATATTTGCCGTGAAAATGGAGAGGGACCATTACCTGATTGTTTTGATAAACCTTGTAAAATTGTATATAAATTTCTCAATAAGGTATATTATTTTATATCCTTCCTTTATAATGACAATGACATTTACGATACATTTATTTATTATTCTATATTATTATAATTTCAGCACTATTTGCCTACCTTTTTATCATCGCAGCTGTATTATAAATATTTGTCAGAATTGATCAGTACCATTCAAAGTAATCCATGTTCGAGTTATCAGCTCAGAGTAAAGAGAGCAGGTAATCATACCTTTTATTTTTTTATCTATTAGATTATCAGTATTTTTTAAAAGTTAAAGATAAGTATAAAATGAAATATATAGATAACTACAGAAACATTATACAGGTTCTGACTGTAGTAGTGAAGTGAGCTCTATCAGTAACAGTATGCAAAGTACCCTGCAGGCAGGGAACAATGCCAATGGAATATTATCTAGTACTAGTAATAGTACAAAAACAAGTGCACACAGTAGTATGAATATCGATACAAGACAACTCTATGATCCAGATTCTTTATGGAGGCGTAACAAATATAGGTTTGTTCTTTTTTTTTTTTTTTTTTTTTTTTTTTTTTTTTTTTTTTTTTTTTTAATTTTAATTTTACTTTTTATATACATTAATTACAGTATAAAAGTTATCACATTATTTTAATTATATTAATATTTTAATAACATAGATTAAGTGTTGGCTACATCGATTACTTGGGTAGATTTATTACAGAAATAGAACCTGATCCATGTAGAAAATATGGTAAGTTTTATTTCTATATATAGACATTGTAATTGTTGAAGAAAAAAAATAAAAAAAGATTAATATAAATGATATATATATATATATATATATATAAAAAACTTTTAGAATCACGATTAGCGCGTGCTGTGAAAAGACTCGTAAATTTGGAACAGGATAAGGTAAAATTTATATGTAAATCTAATGCTTTTATGCCATTATCTAATAGATAATCCATTATAATACTAAGATGCTATTAAAAAATAATAATATATAATTTTAATATCCAGGCGAAAGAAGAACTAGCATGGAAGATAGCAGAAATGATTATACGTGACATTACATCCTTGACTTTAGGAGCTACAAATCTTCCATCTTGATGGGATATACTTTACATAATATGATCTTGAAAATGGAATTTTTGAAGCATTTTATATTATCACAGATGCTTGAAAGGTTATATTTCAAACAATTATTTTATTATTACTTATTACAGGTTAAAAATGTGTATGTTTGAAAAAAAAAAGTGCCAAAAAAGAAGTTAAAGGAAAATTAAGTTAACTTTTAGTTCGATTACAATTTAAGTTTAACATTTTATTTCAAAAGAATTTCGGAGCACCGTTTAAAAATTTTTCAAATCACGTTTGATATTAATAGATTATAAAAATGAAGTTTTAGTACATGAAAATCTTATTTCTATGTGATGTATATTGCGATTAGATAGTAATATGTTAGTACAATTATTTCACTTCAGTTATTAAACATGAAAGAAATACGATATATATATATATCAGAACTAAAAAAAAATAAATTCATTGTACATAATGATATCTTGCAAATATGAAAGTAACAACAATTAGAGAAGACAGAGTAGTGTTATATAATTTGCTTACTACTTAATATTTTTTATTCTCTCTATAAATTATCTTTTGATTAACATTTTCTTTTTTTTTTTTTTATATATATATATATTGTTTTAACTTATAATTATTAATTTCTTACAAATTATGTTACGGTTTATTTTATCTTACCATGATACATGTATCACAGATAAAACAGCAAATTAAGAAAAAATATAATGGAAACAATGGTACAAGTTACACGAGTATCTCTTTACAAGAACTTTAAGAATATTTACTTTTTACAAAATTATCAGAAAATGAAGTCAATGAAAGATCATTCATATATGTTAACATAGCTATAGATATATTATACAAGAGTCGCTGTAGAACGGCACAAATCAAACCACTTATTATGTTCTTAAGTTTACTGAATTTATATATATATATTTTTTTTTTTTTTTAAATTACAAATAATACTCCAGTGATTATAAGGCATAATTATTATCAATTATTCTCATATGAGATTATATAAAAGTATTAACTTTGAATATATATTAATATATGTAATTATTAAGTACATTATAAATTAATTTGCATAGGGCATTCTTTTGAACACTTTTGATGTTAATTATTATTTATTTCTTTTTTATTGCTGTTTTTTCTTTTTTATATTATATTGCAGAAATATGAATTTTTTTCCATATTTTATTGGCACTGATCTAATATTTTAATTGATATAATATCTTAAATTGCATCCCTATTGATAAGGTATAGTTATAAATTTAAGAAATTAAAAAAGAATATAAGTTGCATAATTGCTGCATTAATTGCAGCAATTGAATGATAAAAAAACGCATATCTTTCATTTGTATTCTTCTTTGTCATAAATTTATATGATCTGATAATTAATAGCAAATTTTATTTTATAATTAATAGAAATTATAAATTTGTTGTGCTATACCATTAACAAAGTTAAAAAATTGTATATATTAATATCTGTAATATATAATATAATATTGAACAGCACACATACATATACATATACACATACACATACACATTTACAATAAATCAATTAAGAATTTATTAGAAGTATAAATTGTAGGTTTATTTTCGAGTATATATAAAATGAGAAAATTATTGTACATTATGTATAAGAAAAAAAAAAAATTATTAAAATTGATAAAAGTATAACTTGAAAAATATACTATCATAATTGATAAGCTGATAGATCAAAATTGTGATGTTAATAATACATATTTACTGCTGCTTGCTGGTTCCTTTTTATACTATATTAATAAACAACTAATTATTACTTTTTTAGAAGCCTATAATAGTAGATAGAATAATATTTCTATAGAGCTTACATTTATTAATATAAAATGAATGTAAGATATTTTTTTGTGGAAGATGTACATGTGAAATTAACAGCAAATATTATATTTGTTTTATATTTATTGTTTTTACCAATTATGTATAATCTCTGAATATTTCAGCAAGTTTGTTTGTAATACAATGGTGCTAATATAAATCCATTTTATGTTTGTTTTTTTTTTTTTTTTTTTTTTTTTTTTTTTAAGATAAAAAAGTACTAACATTTTATTATTAAAATTCATGATATTTATCAGTTATATTTTTAACAACAATGTATACAGTACTTATTTTTAACTGAAAATATCTATTAATATTAATGATAAATATTGCAGTGTAAAAATATATATAAAGAGTATTAAAATCAAATGTAATAAATTATAAAAATTTAGATCCTCTATATATGCACTTTTTAAAAGATACATAATTTTTCTGTGACACTTTTGATTTTATTTATTAATTTTTGGATTCAATTAAAAAAAAGAAAAATCAAGTATGCTAACATATAATTAATTTGTTTATTTTTTGTTTTGTTTTATTTACATACATTCATGTTCAGTAATAAATATAAAATAAAATCTGTTGAATGTACAAAATGTACTAATTATAGAATAAAATTGTATATATGTGTACACTATATTCTTACATGTATAAAATAAACTCCTTGTATTTATTAAATTTACAATATATAATTATTTTAAATAACATTATCTCTATAGTTATAAAAATATGCTACATATTTTAATTTTATTAAAAACTTTTAACTTTCAATTTTTTAATTCTTAAAAAAGTTAACATCAACGATTTCAACAACATATGGGAATATAAGTAGCACAATTATAAATTAACAATTTATAAAAGTAATTCTATAAAATTTTTATAAATCTTTTACTTTGTAAAAGTTATAATAAAACAATTAAATCTATTCTATAATATTTAATTGTAATAATTATCTGGCAGTATCATTATATCTTTAAAAGTTTTAAACATGTATTAATAATATTAACATTAAATAAGTACGGACTCTTAATTTCAATATTATAATATATATTATATATAAAAATGTGTAATTTTATCGTAACTAATCCTATGTTTCTAAAAATACACTAAAAGCTTTATCACAGTTTTTCATAATGATGAAGATCCATTTATACTTGTATGAGGTGTACGGGCATATTGATTTAACAAAGGAGATGATTCATTCAAATTTATATCCGCATTCCCTTTCGAAATTTGATTTAAACTGAAGCTTCCTAATTTCTGACACCATTCTAATCGAAATTTTTCTCTTCTACCCCATCTCTGATAAACCAATGCATTTAAAAATGCTTGAAGTGGATTTGTCACTGCCTATATACAGACACATGAATCAAATATATTAAATAATTATATAAAATTATTATCTTAACTTGTTATTATTTTATTCACTTACCATCATATACCACAAAGTAATAATTGCTTTAACAGGTAACTGAAACCATAGTGTCCATAATAAAACACCATTGATTAGATTTGGTACCCAACATATATAATAAACAATATTAATTAATGCAAACTTAAGTCTAATAGTTTGAACTAATTTTCGTTCACGTCCAGTCATTTGTGCTAAACTACATGAAACAGCTGTTTTGAGATCACGAGTTGAAGCAATATAAAGAAGAGGATTTATTATCATAACAATTGCCAATAAGACATATGTTGTACAATAATTTGGAAGAATGCGTAATATCGCAATGGACAATGACGTTAAATTATGACAGCTGAAATTAAATGTTATCCATCAATATTATGATAAAATTTCAATTGTTATAAATAAATTAAAAATCAATACGTTACTTTGCATCTGGAACATATAATATTGACAAGCCAAAAACTGTCAATAAAGCAGGACAAATCCATGCAAATAAATGATAGCAAATAGGATGACCAGATCGATCATTAAGTAATAATTTCATATCCACAGCATAGCACAATGTCCAAATCCATGTAGCCATATAAAAATATTGTGTCCATGCCTTATAAATATATATAAATAGATTCATTAAAAAATTAGTAGTACAATGCGTATCATCTAAATGGTTTAATATAATTATATCTGTCTAAAATATACAGATATTCTTATATCAATATGGAGATAAATTATTTACCGAAGAAAGAGCACAAAATATAACGCTAGAAGTATCATCTTCCATTGGCATAATAGATTTAAAGTTAATCCATAATGCCGATCTTATAAATATACCTAAGATGAAAAATTTCACATGTAATAGTTCTATATTTTTGTATGAATTGAAAAGAAAAAAAAAAAGAAAAAGAAAAATGAATAATAATAAAAGAACCATATATCACTGATACAATATCAGAGATAACATAAAGTGACAATGAAAGCAACACCTAAAGAGGCAAATAAATCAGCAATTGCAAGCCATACAATAATTTCACGTCCTCTCGATGCCGAAAAACTATTCCACCGATGAGGAAGATTTGACATTTCACGTGGTAACACCTAAAATTTAATTTTTATGCTTACATAGAAAGGTTATGAAACAATATAAATATTTCATATTACTTGATAAACAGCTCCAAGTATTCCCATTGTCGAAGAAACCATGCATACTATATTATATATATCTGTATTAAATTCTTCCATTATTTTAATAGCCATATCCGTTTTATTTGTATGGCGACAACAAAAAGTCTGTATCGTTGGATCAGCCATGTTATCAGTAATATCAAAGGTGTTATATAAATTAATGAATATCAGTTAACGCTGTTCATTACTCTTGATTGTAAATATAACGATTTACACCAATAATCAAACCCAATCGTAAATCTCAAGTAATTTTCATGAACAACGTCTCATTTTATGGATGAAAATTTAAACGAGGATAGGTATGATCTCTTTCGAAGTTTTGAAAAAATAAATTCATCTTTTGTGGAAAAAAAAAAGAAAAAAAAATCATGTAAAAAAATGTTGTTTTGCCGATAAGAGTTCATGTATAAAAAGAAAAATTTTTATTGCAGGCGTCAACCATATTTTCGACATTTTCCGTAAAAATTAAATTGCATTTAGTGGCGCCACTTAGCAATAAGATAAAGCTCTCATCTTATATATACATATACTCTTATCTATAAATATATATATATAAAACTCGTTATGTAGGTTAATAGTAAAATAATTTTATTTAGACTTTCGATATACATAAATCTTGACAAAAGTTGAACACGGAGTCCTTATTTGTATCGTAGCTCTCACTCTCTCTTTTTCACTCACTCTCTCTCACTCACTCTCTCTCTCTCTCTCTCTCGCTCTCTTTATCTTCACACGGCTTCGTACAAATGAAAATTTTACTTATAATTAATACAGCGCGTTCCTCTACAAACTTATTCCAGTATTCTATTATATTTAATCATTTATTTATTTGAAGTATTATTAGTTATATAAAATGAAAATATGTTAATGATTAGTTGGAATTAGTTTGAAAAGATACTGGAAAAGTAATGCAATATGCAGCCATTCGCTCGGTAATACTTGCATTAAAGATTCTACAATTAGAGTATGCAAGTATTACCGACCCAGGTCTCACTACGTGGAAGTTGCTGCATGTGGAGACCCACGGGCTAACGGTGACTCTACTCTAAAATCCGCGTTCCACGATACCGATCCGCGATACCTTTCCGCTTCAATGCCTGGCTTCTTAACTAACAGGGTATGCGTAGCTCAGCTACAACACACCTCTTACAGATAGCTCCACCAAAAGCACCGTCTGCTTCAGACATAACGGATTATCAAGCACATCTGAATTCGTGCTTCCCGAATTTCGAACAAACAAAGCGCACTCCTTAGAAAAACTAATCGCGTCGCGACACTCACGTGTGTGTTATAATTACGTAGATTCTACTGTTAAGCCAAAATTCGCGAAGTACCCCCATCGAAATTTTGAAGAAATCAAACGAAGTCCACGGTAGGACCTTTAATCGCGCCCGAACACCCACGCAAGTGTTAGAAACATGAATCTACTCTAAATTCGCGTTTTCGATTCGAACTATCAAACGAAGTTTAATCGCGCCCGAGAACACCAACGCCTGTGCCCGCCGACACGCGCGCTCATGTTCTTCCTATCCTTCCCGTATTCACGCGTAGAAATCGATGATGAATCCAACCATGCGATGTACTATCCGGTCGCAGATGAACCTATCCCTCGATGATCTATCCTGGAAAAGAAGAACGTAAGCAGAATAAAGAGAAAGAATAAAACATACATAAAATAAAACAATATATATATATATATAATATAAACAGAAAATGAACATAATTAAAAACATAAACACATAATTAAACACATAATTAAATACATAGTTAGAAAGAAGCAACATAAATAAATATTAAGAATACATAATTAAAAGGACATAACATATTAATAACATAATTGAAAACATAATTAAAAATGAAAAATATGAGATATAAACGAGAGCCGGAGAAAGAAAAGAGAGCCCCAGAAAGAGAAGAATAGAGAGCCCCAAAAAGATAAGATAAGGGAAGCAGCCCTTTAAGATGCTGTGACAGCAGCCCGCACAGAAGCCCTCGCCCACAGGCCCCTCCCGTGGGTCCCACCCGAGATATATAAAGAATAATTAATGAGAGTAAATAAGAATAAATAGAAATGCAATAAAAGACAGATAGAATAATCTCCTTTTCGTTTCTCCGAGAAATTATTGTACAATAGATTTCTGCTGTATTTCTTCTTTTAAAGTATTATTAGTTATATAAAATGAAAATATGTTAATGATTAGTTGGAATTAGTTTGAAAAGATACTGGAAAAGTAATGCAATATGCAGCCATTCGCTCGGTAATACTTGCATTAAAGATTCTACAATTAGAGTATGCAAGTAATACCGACCCAGGTCTCACTACGTGGAAGTTGCTGCATGTGGAGACCCACGGGCTAACGGTGACTCTACTCTAAAATCCGCGTTCCACGATACCGATCCGCGATACCTTTCCGCTTCAATGCCTGGCTTCTTGACTAACAGGGTATGCGTAGCTCAGCTACAACACACCTCTTACAGATAGCTCCACCAAAAGCACCGTCTGCTTCAGACATAACGGATTATCAAGCACATCTGAATTCGTGCTTCCCGAATTTCGAACAAACAAAGCGCACTCCTTAGAAAAACTAATCGCGTCGCGACACTCACGTGTGTGTTATAATTACGTAGATTCTACTGTTAAGCCAAAATCCGCGAAGTACCCCCATCGAAATTTTGAAGAAATCAAACGAAGTCCACGGTAGGACCTTTAATCGCGCCCGAACACCCACGCAAGTGTTAGAAACATGAATCTACTCTAAATTCGCGTTTTCGATTCGAACTATCAAACGAAGTTTAATCGCGCCCGAGAACACCAACGCCTGTGCCCGCCGACACGCGCGCTCATGTTCTTCCTATCCTTCCCGTATTCACGCGTAGAAATCGATGATGAATCCAACCATGCGATGTACCATCCGGTCGCAGATGAACCTATCCCTCGCAAGTGTTAGAAACATGAATCTACTCTAAATTCGCGTTTTCGATTCGAACTATCAAACGAAGTTTAATCGCGCCCGAGAACACCAACGCCTGTGCCCGCCGACACGCGCGCTCATGTTCTTCCTATCCTTCCCGTATTCACGCGTAGAAATCGATGATGAATCCAACCATGCGATGTACCATCCGGTCGCAGATGAACCTATCCCTCGATGATCTATCCTGGAAAAGAAGAACGTAAGCAGAATAAAGAGAAAGAATAAAACATACATAAAATAAAACAATATATATATATAATATAAACAGGAAATGAACATAATTAAGAACATAAACACATAATTAAACACATAATTAAATACATAGTTAGAAAGAAGCAACATAAATAAATATTAAGAATACATAATTAAAAGGACATAACATATTAATAACATAATTGAAAACATAATTAAAAATGAAAAATATGAGATATAAACGAGAGCCGGAGAAAGAAAAGAGAGCCCCAGAAAGAGAGGAATAGAGAGTCCCAAAAAGATAAGATAAGGGAAGCAGCCCTTTAAGATGCTGAGACAGCAGCCCGCACAGAAGCCCTCGCCCACAGGCCCCTCCCGTGGGTCCCACCCGAGATATATAAAGAATAATTAATGAGAGTAAATAAGAATAAATAGAAATGCAATAAAAGACAGATAGAATAATCTCCTTTTCGTTTCTCCGAGAAATTATTGTACAATAGATTTCTGCTGTATTTCTTCTTTTGAAGTATTATTAGCTATATAGAATGAAAATATGTTAATGATTAGTTGGAATTAGTTTGAAAAGATATTGGAAAAGTAATGCAATATGCAGCCATTCGCTCGGTAATACTTGCATTAAAGATTCTACAATTAGAGTATGCAAGTAATACCGACCCAGGTCTCACTACGTGGAAGTTGCTGCATGTGGAGACCCACGGGCTAACGGTGACTCTACTTTATTCTAAAATTCGCGTACCGCGATACCGATCCCTCATGCCTTCCGCTTTGGATATCTTGGGCATGGGACAAAGCTAACAGGAAGTATCTAGCCTTAGCTACAGGGACTCCACTTACAGAAAGCTTAACCGTTCGACACCCTCCGCCTCAGGCATAACGGATTATTAAGCACATCTGAATTCGTGCTTCCGAATTTCGAACAATCAAAGCGCATTAATCGCGTTCGCGACACTCACGTGTGTTATAATTACGTAGATTCTACTGTTCTATCCAAATTCGCGAAGTAATCTAATGCGATATGTCGAAGAAATAAAACGAAGTCCCCGGTAGGACTTTCAATCGCGCAAGCGAACTCTTACGTGAGTGTTAGAATAACGGTGACTCTAAGTTGAAATCCGAAGCGCACTCCGAATTTCAACATTAAAACGAAGTCCATCATGGGACTTTTAATCGCGCCCGGACACCCACGCAAGTGTTCGGAAAACGGTGACTCTACTCTAAATAAACTAATCGAATATTCGAGCAAACAAAACGAAGTCCCCGGTAGGACTTTTAATCGCGCTCGCGAACACTCACGTGAGTGTTAGAATAACGGTGACTCTAAGTTGAAATCCAAAGTGACATATGTTAACCGGTGTTTAGAATTTCCTATGATATTTGTCGAGATTTCCGCCCCGCTACCAAATATGAGGATTGTCATAACATCAGCAAACTATGTACAGCACTACAAGGTAAACCGTTCGCGCACCCCGAATTTCAACACTAAAACGAAGTCCATGGTAGGACTTTTAATCGCGCCCGGACACCCACGCAAGTGCTCGGAAAACGGTGACTCTACTTTAAAAAAACGCGTTCGCGAGGTAATCTAATCGAATATTCGAGCAAATATAAACGAAGTCCCCGGTAGGACTTTTAAGTCGCGCCCGCGTATATTCACGTGAGTGATAGAAAAACGGTGACTCTACTCTACAATTCGCGTTTTCGATTCGAACAATCAAACGAAATTTAATCGCGCCCGAGAACACCCACGCTTGTGCACGCCGACACGCGCGCCAGTGTTCTTCCTATCCTTCCCGTAACCGAGCATAAAAATCGATGATGAATCGTGCTAGGCGATGACACATTCGACCGGAGGTAAACCTATGGCTTGATGATCTATCCTGGAAAAGAAGAAGTTAAGGGGAAAATAAGAAAAAGAAAAAAATAAAATATAAATATAAAATATAAATAATATATATAGATTATAAATAGAATATAAATTTAATATAAAATAAATATATATAAATAGATAAGTAACCTGCAGAAAGATGAGAAAATATAATATCTGCACGCTGCTGCAACAACAGTCCGCTTCATCTCATGGGTCCTACCTAATGCTTAAAAATTAAAATTAATTAGAACATATTAATAACAACCCTAAAAACATAAAAACATAATTAAAAAGAAATAACATAAATATATATTAAAAAAACATAATTAAAAGGAACTAACATAATTAAATTCTGAAAAGACATAATAAAAAGAAATAACATATTAATAACATAATTAAAAACATAATTAAAAGCATAATTAAAGAAGAAAAATATGAGTAATAAAAGAGAG